TCGCACCTAAGGAGAATTAAGAGAAGCCAATTAACCTAACATTCATGTTTTTGGACTGTGGGATGAAATTGAACCCAGAACTTTTTTAATGCAAGGCGGCAGTGCTGCTCACTGAGCAGCCCTCTAACTGGAATTATACTTTTCAAATATGCAATAAAAAAATGTAAAACCCTCTGAAACTGAGAGTTTAATCATTAGTAAAAGAAATATACTCATATGTAAGGTCAAGTATATTTAACTTACACAAACATGCTTAAAGCAACTTGTGGACGAAGGTCAGAACATAAACAAACACTTAAAAATAAAAAACATTAATGACAGGCAATCTTCCACTAAGATTAACTGGAACCCATTGCTAATTCTTGGCATTTGATGCCACATTTTCCAACCCTTGGATGACAAAGTCATGAATGCATATAGAAAAGCTTCAGGGTGTTTACTTTTGGGGACATTTTAAATCCATTTAAATCAAGGAAAAGTTTTTGGAAGGCTTCAAAAGTGTAGTGCAAAGTGGGATGATATGCCAAGTTCAGGGCATATATCAGTCCCATGAGCAGCGAGGAGGCTTTTGCAATACTGTTGCACCCTGTCAAAATGACTGTCATCTGCACTACCTCTTGCTCTGTGTTTGATTCTGCCACGTCTGGACTCGGAGCAGAATCAGTCCTGCTGTGAACGACAGTGTGCATGCTCTGTGCGTCCGTTTCAAAACGCAAAATTTTTAGAGTAAAGTTAATGTAGTATTTTTAGTTTTATGTACATATTGCTATTAAACATTTAATTAGTATAAGGAAATCTAAGTAAAACTTACTTTCCCCTGAAAATTCATGTATTACATTAAAAAAAGGTTTAATTTTACTTCAGAAACTCTAGTTTTTACTGAAGCTTAGGAATACAGAGTAGAAATTATGAAGAATATTTTAATAGAGTTTACTGCACCAAAAAGTCCTTTGTTTCAGTGTAGTTAGGGGACATTTGAAGGCAATTTGCTTTACAGGATTTTATTGGATGGTAACAAAATAAAGAGGGATGAATTAAAAATGCATATTTATTATTTATATCTATTGTCTATGATATAATATCTTGTTGAAATTAAAAAGCTGGTCATTGTAACATGACAAAATGTTGACATTTTAATGAGAACTTTTGCATTAAATGTTAATGTTTTTCAAGACTACAACTATCTGGGATGATAACTTGAATTGACAAGAAATCCTGATTTATCCCAGTTATCAGGTGCACAGAAAGAGTATTTAATGACACAATAACAGCCTGCATGGCTTCACAGAGGTTAATGCTGCCAGATGCAAATGAGTAAATAAAGGTCTTAAGGTCACCGTGGCAGAAAAGGACAAGCTTTGGGGTTATCAGGAAGGATACAGTGTTAATCACAGAGTAACCCGAACTCCTCTGGTTCTTATCTGCAGGAAAACATATGAGCGACCATTTGGACATTTCCTAAAGTGACAGCACTGAGCAAAGAGGGACCATTGTGCTGCAGGTGGGGGGAGAGGGGGGCATTTGAATAGTAAGGGTCTGGCCTTAGCCTTTGGGGCTGTAATTGAAGGAGTGACAGAGGGCGATACACAGTGGAGATACTGGGAACAAGGTGGCCTCTTTAAGATGACTTCTTTGATGGACAGAATCTGACATGTTGGTATAGGAATTCAAACAATCTGCTGTTTTATTTGTTAAATTCTCAGAAGTATATAATAAACCAATATTTTTTAATAATATGAAATAAAGTACCTTATATTTTAGTTAAGGACACACAGCCTTAAATCAAACAAATCTTTACAGGAAAAAAAAGTAGATTAACAGAGGAAAATATGAGTGAAACCTATAGACACTTTATTATTTATCAGTTCGTAGATTCTACTTTGCTGGCTAACAGCTGAGAGAGTTTTCAAGTCAACTTTATTCTGCTCTCACATCAAGGTGGAGGTTTTTTTTGGCCAAATGTTTAAAACATTACGTCTTCAGGTTATAGAAGTGTGTCAGAATCATTCTAAGACTGTAGACTGCTGGAAAATTTCAATCAGGTGGTAGACTGGACTTTTTCTGGGCATGTTATTTATTTTACAGCCATTCTCCGGCAGATTTGCTTGTCTCCTTGTTGATATTCATGGCAAATTTTATGGGAAGCAGGAACGCCAGCCCTAATTATCATTCTCCAATGTTTTTATTTCTTAATGCATTTCAATGCAACTGAGTCAGGTTTATAGATTATTGGATACTGTGATCAGACAATATATCCATAAGACTTAAAAAAGATCCTTTAATGGCCACAAAACAGCATTAAGTCTGTATTGTTAAAGCCAATTTAAACACCTACACAACATGATGCTGCCACAACTATACCTCACAATTAGGAGGTAGCATTAAGGCTTATGGCCTTTCTCATTGTCCTTCAAATCTGAGAAATAGCCATTATGAGCAAACATCAATTCCAGTCAAGTCGATGAAAATTATATTCTTTGCCCTGTGATCCGTTTTCTGAAATATGGGTTTCATGTTATTATGTGGCATTCTCGCCGGACCTTAAAGAATTACTTTAAAATGCATCTGTAGGTGTGCTCAAATGTTGTGAAATATCCTTACGAACCCATGAAGTCATCATCTGGAAGCCCCCAAAGCATTTAAAGTCATTATAATCTCTATCTTTATAACATTTAAATTTTATTAAATTAATTAATGATACGAAAAACCAGTATAAAAAAAAGGAATGAAAAACACTAATGCAGGTAATCCTATCAATAGAAGTTTTGTCCTATTTAATGTCAGGTAAATAGAAAAAGGGTCTAAGAGCCTTAATACGGTATATATAATATATATATTGCTTCAGCTGAACTTGTCATTTACAATACAGTTTCACTCAGTAGACAGACTAGTGGGTTTAAAATATAAATAGAGAGCCAAGGTTCTGGCTACATAAAAATACCAAAATATTAGACGTGTTTTAAAGCTTGGGTAATATATTCAAATCCTTTTACCACTTCAGACCTCTGCACCATAAATATTTCATTGTATTTAATGCTATTAATCGATTCAGTATTGGAGTAAATGGTCCAAAGCAAAGCGTGTGAATAAAATCAGTTACGCAACACTGTCATCATGCATCACTATGCTATAGAGCCGGCTCATCAAAACATTTCTCCACAGGACAGCTAAAGGACAAGGCGCTAAAGAAGGCAGTGAAGGGGTGGGAAAGGGAACGAGAGACAGTGAGGGAGATCCAGGTCTGTGAGTTACAGTGGCCCTGCCCCTGAATTTCTTCTCCAGCAGCGGGAGACCCCTCTCTTCTCTACAACACCCTACGCATTGGGGACTCATCTGTCTGGCACACTGTCTTTGTACTTAACTGTTACTGGTGACATTTTGGTGTCACGGTGTCATGATGAAGTGGCTCCCCTCCCACGTCGCAGCCTGCGGCAGCGCGACCGGCCAGACAATGAGGTCCTGAGGAGCTGGGGCTGGATCTCAGGAGGCCCCAGCTGGGTGCAACGCCCTAACCCTTCCCCCTCCCAGGCTCCCATGAAATCGGGAATTAGTCGAAGCGTTGCTGACGACAAGTCAGTGTCTGTGTGTCCCAAGTTCTTCCCAGGGCCCAGAGAGGACCCGGGGTGAGAAGAGACACAGACGCAGACATATCGACCAAAGGATGGGCGCTTTGGAGGTCAGTCGGGGGGGAAAACAGTGCATACTGCACTGACCTCCAACCTCCAGCTCAGATCAAACTCATGTGTCACTCCTGGTTCTGTGACCAAGTCAGTCAGGTTTGTATTGAGAAGGCAGAGAAGTTTCACCGTTGCGTAATGCCAACGCAGTTTGTCTGCAGTTTTCAATTGAAGAAGGTGAACATGGTGCCGCCGACATGAATAAAGCTTAAGAAGATCGACCAAACACAGATGTGAAACTCCTATCCACAAGGGCTGGTGTGCTTCAACTTTTAGATGTGTCTCTGCTTTAACACAAACACGTAAAAAAATAGAGCAATCGGGAGGACTGTGTAGAACCTGCCTGCATGCTAAATAGTTGCAAGCTGATTCCAGTCTACTGGACCATGGACATGTCCTGATGCTGCAGGACACTGGCCCTACATGACTGGATTTTCCCATGTTTGTTACAAAAAGATCACCATAACTACTATGTGGGTTTATGTTAACGTCAACACTCATGAATCTATATAGGGAGATTACCAGATGAAAGCAGTGTGGAATTAAAGTGTGAATTCACTGGCTGATCATGGGAGTTTGGTTGTCCAATTTATGGCCACTGGGGGCGCTACAGGTCTGTGGGGTGTTGTGGATGTGTTTAATCAATCTTAAACAAAAGTCAAGCCACAGACTGTCGTTTGTCCCTGATCCTGTTTGTGGCTTCATGGACAGGACTTTGAGGTGTAGTCATGGTGAAGAAACCGGTTTTGAAACTTATATGTGATTTGGGAGATGATTTGACTCTTGAATACTAAAACCATGACTTTCAGCACACTTTGGGTGGTACACAGTGTTAAAAAAGGCCAAGATGAGATGGGAGACATTAAGGTCTGAGGCCAGGGATTTCAACCTGAAAATGTTGGAATGGATGGATGGATGGATGGATGGATGGATGGATGGATGGATGGATGGATGGATGGATGGATGGATGGATGGATGGATGGATGGATGGATGNATGGATGGATGGATGGATGGATGGATGGATGGATGGATGGATGGATGGATGGATGGATGGATGGATGGATGGATGGATGGATGGATGGATGAAGAAGACCTATAGCATGTACATTTGATTTTTCTTTTTTTTTTTACTGCTTGGACAACCAAGCCTGTTCTATGAATAAGCAAAGCTTATTGTGAAATCCACTTATTTATTAAAGAAGGTGAAAATATTGGTATTAAACAAGTTTCACAATAGCTTCAACATCACTGTAACCATAGCAACCCATTGATAAGATATGGGATATTAAAAGTATATCTGATGAAAACCAGCAAGAACTCACCTTTGGATTCTCCAACATGCCTGATTCATAGCTGTAAAGAAATTCATTAATAATTTATTACTTTTTTTAAGTCTAAAAAACTCACACACACAAACAGGGTGCATCACATTAGTCATCCTCACCTGATATGCATGAGATTGGCATCCATGCTCCAGGGGGCACGAGGAGTGACTGGCACTGGGATGCCATGTTTCTGAGATAAGATAAGGTGGAAAAAATTATCCTGATATGTTACAGATCAGAAAGCCTCTTGAGGTCACAAGATTAAACATCTGTAAAAAGGTCTATTTGGTGCTCCATAGCTGAGTAAGACAAAAAAACAAACAAACACAGATGTTCTGGTATTGTAAAACAAAAGAAAACTAAAAAAAAAAAAATGCATAATTTCAAAGCAGTATTATTTCCCCAAAGGCCCAGGAACAGCGTGAAAAAGAAATTTTATAAAAACATCTTGACTGCCCTCTAGTGGAGAAGGCCATTATGACTTTAAAGGTACATTAGCTGCTGGTAATAAGGTAGAAAATAAACCTTAACCTTATGGAAACAGTGAATTTTAGTATTTAGAATAAAAAACGAAAAAAAAAAAAAAAACATCACATATCCTAAATTAACAGACTGATTGTTATTATTGTGATCATTTTCATAGCGTATCATCAGTCTACCTGTGCATATTCCATCAGATCTGTTCTCCCCTTGAAGCGATTGTAAAACTCAGGGATCCTCCATGGTGCAATGATCTGATCAATGCAAACACACAAACACACAGCTAAAGCTGCAGGGACATTATTTCAGAGGCCAATTTATTCCATGTAAGAATGAAAAAGCAGCAAACCAACCTTGACCTCTGGGTATAGAGCGTAGCACGAGAGCTCAAAGCGTATCTGGTCATTTCCCTAAAAGGTAAAAAGCTGGTTTATATCTGCAAGTCAGCACTTTGGGATAATTTTCCACAGTTTTATTTTCATTAAATATTATTTATTATCTGGTTCCCATTTGGTCAATAAAATAAAATTGAAACAGAAACAAAGAATGTGTTTTATTTCAGTTGTATTTGTGCTCAGTTTTAAAAACCCAATAGTTTGCATCTAGACAAATGTTGATAAACATCAACTTGACAAGTGAAAATAACTTGACGTTCCCCAAAAATCACACTAATATAACAATTTGATATCCAGTAAAATGCTGTGATATCAAAATGTAAAACTACAAGTACAATGCCATCTACATTTACCCTTACCTCTTGGCACAGTTGCTAAGAATAAAAAAGTAATTAATCTTTTAATACAGAAGGCTTACCTTACACTGAAAACTTTTGAATAAAACCTACTTAAATATGATATCAAGAATAAAGAAATGGTCTGACCACATTCCTCCATTAACAACACGTGCTAAAAAGCTTTACATATTTACATTTGTGATCCTAGGCCAAAAAAAACACATTTTTTGATGCATTGCTGCAAAATACCTTGTTGACATGTATGGGATGTAGGCTGAAATTGTATGCATGGAGACTGTGTGACCCCAAGAAGCATGTCTTTGCTACATTTTTAAGTGTTAACATCAGAGATGTGTTCCATTTCAACACCGTTCTCACATTAAATAGGGTCAATATGAAGCTGATCCTTTGTCCATCATGTTCCGTAATAGTTTGAATTAAAAAAAAACCACCAAATCTCTTGACTCGTGTTCAAATGGAGATAGGGACATGCAAATAAAGATTTGTTGTGGTCATTTCCTAACTTTGGAAGATTAACGCACATCTGTTTTACCTGAATGGCATGTTTGTCAAAGACAAATGGGTCTCTGAGTGACATCATGTTTAAACCTCAGACATGGCTGTTTACTCAGTGTCTTTAAGTTTGACTGTGATGGACGGGTGACTTATTTTCGGTGTACCACACCTCTCGCCCAATAATCACTGGAGATTATTAGATGATAGAGGGATTAATTATGGTGCTTAAATTAAAGGTTGTATTTTTTTCTAAAATTTATAGGACAGTTAAAAAAAAAAAAAATACTTTCTGTTAATCTGCAATTTGGCTCTAGAACTCATTGAAAAAAATGGGTGATGTTTTCTGTTTGCTGTGAAGAGCCCGGTTAATCTTTACCTGAATGTTTTATGAACTGGCTTAACTTGTTTGGATATAAAAAAAAAAATGAACAAAAAAAACAAAGAGCTTGATCATTTAAGATTAGACAAAACAAGTACTCACAAGTCAATACCAGTTGTGGAATGCTGCAGGGTTCTAAGTTCAAAACTGCATATTATGAAGCAGAATTTTGGCGCCATCTACTGGCTTAAAAAGGACTCACACAATAGATGACCTGAAAGGAATTCTTTTCAAAACATCTGAAATGAGCAATTATACTAAAATATTAGAAGAAATAACCCTGTAGTATATTGTTTGACGGCTCCCAAATAAACTATAAATACATTTTCTTTTTCAAATGATCAACAATTGTCATTTCCAAAACGTCAGCAGCATCATCTTTACAAATATGTCTAGAGACCTATGTCAACTCTAGTTTTCCTCGGCAGAAATGAGTATGAGTAATTTTTTTGCTGAATTTTCCTTGTATGCATATCTGTGACTCACTATGACTTCCAACTGCCATTTACAACTAATGTCAGCAAACAAAAACATGTCTGCACCAGCAGAGTATTGGCAGTTTCAAAAATGCCTCCTTATTTCTAATAAGAGAAAGACTGGAATTAACTTCATGAAAAAAGAAATCAGGGATCATTGCGATCATATGATTTATCCAGATGTTCTCAAAAAATATTGATTTCATTAAGATGCAGAAAAAAGAAGTTAACTTAGAAGAAACATCTGCTTTCAACTGAATGGGTGACTTAACCAGAGATAACAGTAACTTTCTAAATGTTAATAAATGGTTAATATTTAACCTTGAAATTATGCGTCCCAAACAGAGCAGTGACCTATTTCTCTAGTTTGTTTTGAGAAGAGAAATTTTACCTTTCCAGTGGCCCCATGGGACACAAACTGAGCCCCCTCTTTGCGTGCAATCTCAACCTGACGACGGGCAATGCACGGCCTCGCTATGGCCGTACCCAGAAGGTATCGATCCTCATAGACGGCGTTGGCCTGAACAGACGGCCAGATAAAATCCTCCACAAACTCTTTACGCAGATCCTCAATGAAAACCTGGTCAAAGATACAAAACATAGCTCTAATACTTTTGTCTATATATATATAATATATATATTATATATATATATTATATATATATATATATATATATAAACAGATTTATATGCAGGTTGTAGAGCTACTGTGGTAAAAAAAGAAAAAAAAAGTTACATAAAAACAAAATAAGACTGATTATGAATGAGAAATAAAACCGTGAAATTATTGAAAACCTTAATAGGTTTCTCATAATTACTGAAAAATGTCTCTTACCTTCTTTGCTCCAAGGCTTTCTGATTTTTTCCGGGCAGCTTCAAAATCCTCATCTTGTCCAATATTGGCCTGGAATAAGGCAATCAAATTTAAAGCAATATATTATTGAAGTAAAATACATTTTAAATACAATCCCAAATATGCAACATGTCTTTACATACGGATCCCTTTATCCAAAGAGATCTGCGTTATATGTTTTACAGAGGGGGCATCTCTCATTTCAGCCATTTTGTAAAGACGGCCAATTAAGCAGGGAGAACAGCAGGGTAAATTTAGACATCATGTTTATTTTAACAAACATATGCATGGATGAATTTAACAGAAAGGGGATAACTGCAAGAAAATGTTACATAAACACCTGTCTGTTGATGACAGAACTGGAAGGGACCTACTAGAGATTTAGACTTGATGAAGAATAAACACTTTATTTATCTGTTTTAAAGACTCATTCAGTGAAACTTAAATTCCAGCAGATTGACATAAGACAGAAGCAGCACATAGAGCAAAAAGAAAAAAAAAAACTATAGAATATCTTAATGGAGATCTTAATTTTTTTTTCCTCTTAGCGATTGTGTCGCCCCCAATTATATGATGCCCTTGGCAGTGAGCCATTTTTCCTAAATTAAACCTGCCACTCTAAGTCATTTCTATTTACTTTGAAGAATAAGATAAAAAAATACATTACAAAAAATGGCTTAAAAAAAAGGGGTTACGTTAAATAAAAACTTTTGTGAAAATTATGTGCACATAATTAAATTCATTTATTCCCATCAGCAGATAATATGAGTCTTCTATTATTTAACTTAAGCATTAGTCATCCTGACTCTGGAACCATCCCTCTATGGACTTTTTATTATTATTCAAGCTTAAACCATAAAAAAAATAGATAAAAAAAACAGGATTTTAAAAACAGCAAAATGAAAAATTTTATTTTATCTTTTTTTGTATGGTTATTTTCTACAATGTTCCTGTTCAGTGCTTTGGTCACCTTTTAGATTATTGTCTTAAAGTGATAAATAAATGTAATAAATGAATAAATCTTTTTTTGTTTTTTTCGCCATTCGGCAGCTTAAAAAAAAGTTAGTTAAATACATGTCAACTTTATTAAGAGCCCAAAAGATTTGCCCCTTCTGCACCTCGTGGCATGCTGACCACCTCCCGCACCCATTTAGGAAACCATAAAACAAATGAGTGAAGTTCAGCGAGAAAATCTGCCTGCACTGCAGTTTTTAGTCACCCTGGGGGCAAACAGTAAAGCCAACCAGATTTAGCATAATAGAACCAAATCCTGTCACTATAGATATTCAGCCCTGTTGTTTTTTTGTTTTTTTTTAGAGATGTGCCAACAGTCCACTTCTATACGCAGTGACAAAGTGCATAAGCAGCAGACCGTTAAACTTCAGGGATACTTGACATGTGAAAGCAGCTGGATGACAGAAGGGATCAGTTGTTGTGCCCACACCTGCTGTTAAATCTCACCAAGTATGCAATGACGTCATAGCCCTGCTCCTTGAGCCACACCAGGATGCAGGAGGTGTCCAGTCCCCCGCTGTAGGCTAGAACCACTGTGCCTTTAGACATGATGAGGGATGACAGGATCAGAGCTGGAAAACATTAGTAAAAGAAATAAGTTACTTTTGTTAATATACAACGTAAGATAACGAACTTTTTCAGTGACATGAAAAGAAAAATAGTGTAAAAGTAATAATGTTAAAGAAAATTTAGAATTGTTTTTATATTTTTAGACACCAAGAAGTAATTGGTTTGTAAATGACACTTAATCAAGTTGTATAATTCCACTTTCGATTTAGAGGCCATTGGCACCCATGCCTACCTTCCACAGCCTATTACTGTAAAAAAAAAACAACATTTTGTTGAGCTGCTTTAGAGATATGCTGATGAAATCTCAACAGGTGGTTTCATTTAATTGTCAGGAAAAAACAACATTACATTTCCTGTAATAAATGCTCCCAACGAGAAACAAGACAGCGCTTCGCCTTTGGCTGTTCTCGTGACCAATCTCCTGGGATTAGATGATAATAAACAAATCAAATTATAAAAAAAAAAAAAAAAAAAATACAGATTAATCAATTTATATTTTTTTTTTTTTTTTTTTTTTTTTTTTTTAACAGGGGAGACTAGATTTAAAAAAAGAACTTCCGATAAAATGTTCAACTTCTATCCAACAATATGCGTTATTCTATTTTTTTTTTTAAGGCCATATATTTTGCGGCACATTTCTGACGCATGTTGTCTATAAATGCTTTCCATAATGGACTAGAATACAACCAATGAGGCAGCATTTTTCATTAAAATACATAAAAGCAGTTGATAAAAGTGTACTTACAGCAGAAAGGAGTGAATAATAAATAAGTGGTTTAATTAAGAGCGAAGAGACCGATGGCAAGAGCAGCAGCGGGTTCTTTTCAGTGGATGTAGTTTGGTCTACTACCCGATCCGTAGCCCAAATTGTACCCGTGACGTCAGAGCGAGTTGCGTTCGTGTGCAAATCATTCTTTACAGGAATTTAAAAAAAAAAAGGAAAAAATCATTATTTGCAGGAATTTTCATTTTTAAACCGTGTCCTCAAATAAATATCTATGAAAAAAATATAATATATTCTTGATTTTTAATAGATATTTTAATATCGTCTGTTTTTGTTATTCTATCTTTACAATTTTGTAATTTTATTTTACTGCACTAGCTGAGGTCGTTTAAAAGCACTTTATTTATTGGCTGCTATGTCATGACATTGATTTAACATCCATTTAACACTTTTCTACAACTGATACATTTTAATAGATCTGTATCATGTGCAGCAAGATTATGTTCTACATATGCATGTAGGGGTTCACTCCAGGTACTTGGACATTCTGCCACTGTCCAAAAAACATGACTGTAGTTAAAAACATGTTTGTTATTATTATTTATATATATATAAATTAGCCAGCATACATGGATGGCAAAATAGGAAATATAACAGGTGCTTTAGAACAGCAAAAACAGGAAGCTGGGAAGCAGATTGCAATTGTATTCTCAATAATTGCCAAAAATAACAGTTGCAGTGTTCACAATGCCTACAAGTTGTTTATATCTTGTCTATTATTCTTTCGCTATTTCCTTTTTGTTTTCCTGTTATCAAAAAATCTTCTAAATACACAATATAAAATTGGTTGGCAATTTCTTTATTGCATGGGAGTGCCTTTAGCCAGCCAATGAAGTAGTTTTGTTATTCTGCTTTATCAAAGTACAAGGTAAAAGCCTACAGCTACTTTAACTTCTAAATCTTTACATGATCAGATCTTGCTTCACCCTTGTGTTGTATTAAAAGTGTGAATATCGCAGTGAACGCTGGTTCATTTCACCAGATTAGGTCTACATATGTTAAAAAGTAGCCATTTGACTTTATGGTTATCTATTTCACTTTAACCACTAAATATATCGCTTTAAACCCTAGAGGTACCTTTACATTCTTCAATAGGAGGTATCTTAATCTGGTTCAAATATGGTTAGGCTTCGAAGGGTTGAATCATTATGTGTATTGATAAAAAAGAAAATTAGATTTCTGATTTCCAACAGTATAAAAACATTCTCTTATGAGTAATTCTTTAAGCTATCAATAGTCTGGTGATCATTAGGTAACATAATTAAATATTGGTGATAAAATGTATTTGCAATCAGCTTTGTTCTGCAGAGAAAAATTAAGCTAATTACAAAAGTGAGATAGAAGCAGGACTCATCACATACATTGTGCAATGAATAAAGATCATATGGATCTTTTTACTCAAACTTGTGGCAAAAGAACTTTACTAGTTGATTATTTTCAACAAAAGCTTTGCAGAATTGTAATTCATACGATGATTCTACAAATGTGAAATGTATCAACAATATAGCCTGTTATGAAGTTCACAATCAACCAACTTAGTCCAGCAGAGGTCAGTATTTGCATCTCATCTTTCATTTTCAAAAAGCAGAGCTTCTGACCAATAAATCCTTGTGACTGGGTTAGAATAAGACAGATGATTTGCTGTGGCGACTCCCTTAAGAGAAAATCCAGGTAAAAAGAAAAAGCGCAAATTATTGAACTCTTTGGCTTCTGAACAAAAAGACTTTAATAACTTCGATTGGGACTCCGTATTTCTGAATATTTATTTTTTCGCCATGAACTTTCAAAGTCAAAGAAAAAAAAAAACATGGTGAAAAATACAATATAAACTTCTGAAAAATCAATACACTGAATACTTTTTAAAAATTTCTCACACAGGCTAAGAAACACTGAGCAAAGGCAGAGTCTGCGTGGCTTGTGACTGTGCTCAGTCTTCTTTGCTTCTCTACATCTTCAAATATATTTCAGAAGCGTCTAGCCCCCCTGTCCCCACTTTTCATTGACCTTAGAAATCACACAAGGTTCACTAGTTAGGCTGTTGTCAAAAATGTATGGTACAAAGGGCCCCCAAAGTCCTGGAGTTGATAACTGCTGAGGTTTTTCATCAAATGATGTCTAGAACGCCCCCACTTAGCATATAACAAACACTTGACCGTCTCCACACAGACAACAGCTGGCAGTCAGACAAGACTGAACGTGTACAAATGAAAAAGACTCTAGTGCTGGAAAATATAGGATGGAGATGAGACAGAGATCCAGGCCTTAGTGGTACATCTCTCACACTCCAAACTGCAATAGTTAAATATCAAAACAAACAGAAATTGGCATTGATGGGGCAGCTGAATCGCAGGACCTCATCAAATCTGCCCGCTGGATTCAGAAAATATCAACGTCTCTTTAAGATCATTTATGACATAACACCTGCAAAACACAATGAATTGTTTTTATTCCTGTAAACATAGAACAGACATTTAACCATTTTTTTTTTATTTAACTTTCTGCACTTTAAAATAAAGGGGCATTTTTATTTTAAAGACATTGAAGGCTGAGGTTTTGAAAAAGAAAAAAAAAAGCAATTTAATAACTAAAAAATATTAGCAGTTGGGACCAAAATAAAACAAAAACAAAAGAAAAAAGAGAAAAACGTGTCCACTGATTGTTGGGGTGTTTCCCCCACAACAAGCTGTGTATCCTGTGGGCAGAACAGCCAGAGGGAGGGTCTCTGTGTCCCATGGTGGTGAGGGGCGTCAGATGTGCTGCATGGTTCTCTAGCTCTGCCTACCACTCCTTCTTCTTTTCGTCCATGGATACTCCACCAGGGCCCAGTGCTACCACGAGCAGCAGTCCACCGATGACAGAGGTGGTCTGGAAGAAGTCATACTTGAGGAAGTCGTGCATGGGCTTGTAGGCAGGGATGGTCCAGAAAGCATTGAAGTAGACGTTGATGGCAAAGAGCCACACAACAAGGGTCAGTGCTGCCAGTTTGGTTTTGAAGCCAATGGCGACCAGGATGATTAAAGCAGTCCCCACCATGTTCTGTAGGATCTGCAGAATAAAAAAAAAGGCATTGAACATGAGGAATGGTCAATTGGCTCAGAAGGTGACTGGCTGAATGGTCACAGTTTTAGCTTTATTATATCTTTATTGTTTTAACAGCATTCTGTAAATCTGACAACAAATCCTCCAACCAAGTTGGGTTTTATAAGCTCTAAGATTACACAAATCAAGCATGTATTAAAGCTGGTGTCTAATTTAGCACTGTGATTCAGGGCAATTTTATGGGTTATTTGATCAAAGGACATTTAAATCAGCTCTATTCCACATCCTATAAACCTTAGGCTACGTTCATAAACCAGTTTTGATGCTTAAGTCATATTTTTTGCCAGGAATCCGAGTTATCTTGCGTGTTGATTACACTGCAATCTAAATCCGACCGCCTTCTGACTTTTGTACGAACAGTTCATGATCTCAAAGTGACAGAAGGAACATGTAAACATCACCATCCCACAGCATCACACTGTTTACAGAAGCGTTATTGGATATCACTGTTAATGTTTAACAAAAACAAACAAATCAAAACAAAAAGAAACAGTAATAGTACATTCCGGTGTGTTTGTATTATTAAACTGCTGAGCAATAGGAGCCAACATTATGACCCAATAACAAGAAAGAGGGTAAGAATTTTTTTTTTTAAATAACTTCTCATAAGTTTTAACCGTAGCCTTTAATGCTGCTGTTTTTAAAATTAGGTCATGTTCTAAAAATGGATCGATGTTAATAACTGAAGTCTGATTCAGTTTTTTTAGTTCAAAGATGTGAACTGGAACTTTCAGACTGCCATAAAAAAATTCACACATGCGAAACACATGAACCAAAAGATCAGATTTAGGTCACATTTGCACTGCTGTGTGAACATGGCTATAGACCTAAAATATCTAGTTTGCACTGTTATTTACCTCTTTAACTTAATTTAATCATTCTCTAATGTTAAAGCAAACGACTAAAACTACACTAAAACATTATTACTAAACCTACCTCATCCAGTCCTGTTTCATGTTTAACATTATTATTGTCAGAGCCAGTGCAGCCGGACTTCGACCAAAGAGGAAGTTTAGGTTTTACAGATGACAGATTTGCAGACGTAGAATGCTGCCCAAGTTGTAACACCTGAGCTTGACTTGATATTTCAGGTTAATTAATCTGTATAAATGTCAACTTATTTTTAAACTATAAACAAAACTTTTTCTTAAAGCCCTCTTTGGATCAGTGACAGATTTACGCAAAATTTAAGCCCTTAAACATCTTCAAATACAAAACATTTCAATTAAGTCAAGTAAAATACGTTGTAACAGCGTTTATCTGTGTTTGATTAGAAAGAAAAAACCCAATTATCTTGCAGTTTCTCTGCTTCATAGTGGAACTGAAGCCATCACAGAAATAGGCTTGTTGGTGTAAATATGTGGAGTGATGTCAAACTTACAGAGAAGAAGCTGGAATCAAAGTGAAGCAGAGTCATAAACATGAGCACTAGCAGCACTCGGCCACCAAGCTGCATGTACTGCTTGGGCGAACTCTCTCCCATCGAAGGGACGCCAGCAAACATGCTCTTTCCCTCCGAACGCGACTCTGCCAGCAGCAGGAGCAGACCTCCTCCTAGGGCCAGGTTTCTATAAAGAGGCAAGAGGAGTTTTATTTTGGAGCGACAAACCGGAAAAAAATATTAATGCCTTCCAACTTGATCATGCTGACAAAGTGACCTTTGGAGCTTCATCTCATCAGTCTGAAAAAGTCTTTACTGCATTGAAATCATTTCGTCTCATTAAACATAACTATGGTTCTCAACCACCATTTTTCTTCCCACCATCTTGATGATTATATGACTCATCTGATACTTTACAATCCAGCTTAATCCTGACGGCACATGAATTATAGGACATAGAATCTAAACGACTCAGACAAGGTGTTAAGGTGTCTTTACACACTGGATGATTCAGCACCATTCCCACCATCTAAATAAACAAAACAGTCTTGATGAGGCCATGGTTGCATGTCACAACATGCTGCAGAAATAAGAAGTGTATAGCAGACTTTGTTAAATGCTTAATTCATAAAACCTAAACTATTTTTTCCCCTATCGTAAGCAGCTGTTACTCATTTGAGTTTGATCAAAACTGGGAAGCAGATTCTTATTTGGACTTGATTTGAAATCTGAGACTAAGGCTACGTTCACACTACAGGCTTTAATGCTCAATTTAGAGTTTTTTTTTAATGAAATTCGATTTTTTAGCACGGTTCATTTCAAAATGTATGCAACTTGTATGTGATCTCCTGTTTGAACTGCATTTACACAACTTAAGTGTAGCGCATGCGCAGTAGAGGGCACTATGACGTCTCAAGCTTGTGTGCTCTGTGTTCAGTAAGTAAACATAGATGGTAAAGCTGGAGCGCATCTTTCATTTCCTTCCAAACCTAAGCCATTGCATTAAGAACAGGTTCTTCTCAAGGTTGAAAATAAAGACTCTGCATAATCATCCACCGTAGCAGGATGCTGAATAGTGTCCTTTGTTGAGCAATAATGGCGCACAGGTTGGATGAATACGACCTGGACGCTCCGACACAGGTCACATTTGAAAAGATCAAATAAGTGTCAGATTTAGGACCAGATGGCCTGGGTCGCATTGGGAAAAAAAGAAAGAAAAAAAAAAGAAATTTGATCTGTGTTGTTCAGACTGACATATACAGGTCGCATATGGGTAAAAAAAAAAAATGTAATAAAAATCGGATTTGGTTCCCTTCAGGCTGCATTGTGAACGTAGCCTAAGTGACTTGATATTCAAGAATAACAGAAGTGACACCTACCTCATCAAAAACTTCAGGTCCCATAAAATGCTGTACGCAACAGTCTGGTGAAAGGCAGAAACAAAATGAGACAAAACCATGGTTTGAGCTTTTGATTTTCAGACAGCTAAAATAAAAAAAAGGGTTCTCACCTGTAATGCTATGATGCCAAATAATCCAAAGCAGGCATACTGTACAAAATTTCTACTGAGAATAAGGACACAGCCACCTGTCAGAACAAAAGAAATGTTAGAGCTGCTCCCATGATGAGATATTGTATTATTTTAGCACTAAGAGGAATAACAGTGTCAATAACGGCGATGCCATCTTCAATCACCATCTCTCTAACAGCCACTTTGGTAAATAACAGTTTTTAGCCAAATTTCAGCACAGTTCAACGTGGATTCAGTTTCATTGAGAAGACAGACACGGGAGGTTTTGATGCAACCCAATCCACTAAGCAAATTTAGCAATTCATTTGGTAGACAAAATATCAGGTAGCAAAGGTCCATTGTCCTCAGCTGGTTTAAGTGTGTCCAAACTTAGACTACACACACATATATCCAATGCTTTTAATACTCTTCTGTAACAGTTTTTTGTACTTATCCTGATTGTCTTCTTTGATTTCTCTTTTTATTTAATTGTGTAACAGAGAAATTCTGCTTTTGAAAATGCAACAAATAAAATATCAAATCCTGTAGACAGGTATCCTGAATATAACAAAAGGTATTTGAATTTTTCTCACTATAATGTGCAGTTTGCAAACAAAACATCTGACAGTGCATCATCTCTATATTTATCAAACTCAGAATCCACCACCTTTAAAGCATAACTGCATTGCTTCAACATATGAAACTCCTAAGCTTCCTATCTGATTTGGACCTCACCTTCTGTATCTCTGTAATATCATTCAACTTGCCTTTTTGCTTTCGTATTAACATTACATCCTTGACAGAACAGCTTATGATTTTATCCCATCGTACCCGGTCTCCTGTCACTCACCAAGCTGTCCGAGGAGGTTAAGCAGCACAAAGCAGGTGGCCAAGAAATAGCCACAGTTCCACGTGGCCTCGATGTAGTCTCTCTGCTCATTCCACTGGAACCACATGCGGATCCCGTCTTCGAGGAAGGTACTGATGAGACACAGACGTGCCAGATGAGGCAGGTACTGTTTGGTCACCCGCAGAAACTGAAGAGCACAAATACAGAAAGCATGAACGTGGGGGAGAATGTACAGTAGTTTAGCAAAAAAGCGTGACTGTTTAGTAGAAATCTGAAATATTTACAGTTTGTCATTGATTCTGTTCTGGCCATGCTGCAAAACAATAACTAAGGGACATAAATATTCTGAATGAAGGAAAAGTTTTAGGATATTTTGGCTATTGGTTCCTCCTCCAACACGTTATCTACGTACTTGACATGTATTTGTAGTTATTTTTCATAAATTAAACATCAAAATCCAAATTATTATTTTAGTATTTTATTTTAACTTTCAAAGGAGGCAAAAAAAAAAAAAAAAAAAAACGAGTTAAAAATAGTCTGAGTTAGGCTTGCAGGCTAAAGAAGAATGCAACCATGTTGCTCCAGGGGGCAATAATGAATGTGGAGACAATAAAAACAAGGACGAAACCACTATAGTAGGTCACAGCATCACAATACAGTACTGGCAAAAGCTGCTCTGGATAAGCTTAGCACTGTAACATAAAAATATGAATATCTTGTACAAAAACCAGGTTTTCTACCCGATTCGGGTCTACATCCACTTACAAAAACAGATCATGCTGACTTACCCTCTTAGCTTTTTATTATAAGTAATATATAATGGCCTTCTTTCCCCTGTTGTGTTAGCAAAATAGAATTACAAAGAGTAAATTATTAAAGCTAACTAGTTTATTTTAATTGACCAGAGCACATGATCACCTCAGACATTTGAGATGAAAGAAACACAAAAGATAAACCAGGACAGAAGCAAAGCTATCAAATAAAACCCTAACACAATGCAAACACCCAGTGTTTCCCTCCTAAGGTGTAAGGTGTAGTCAAATTAATAGAAATATTGAGTTTCTGCTCATAAGAAGCAGTCCCACCCCTGATCCGCCCATCTATCAGTCCACATCAGCACAGTCAGATCTCAGCAGCCTATCATCATCCACCAAATCCACTGGCACTGCTGTCAGAGACATGAATGGACCAGGCTGGAGCCAATCCGAATAAGCCAAAGGTTGTTGCAACAGCCTAGAAATAGACAACTCTGAATGTTATGTCTGAGAGGAATGTACGCTTAAAATCAATGACGCAATCTTTCTTTTTCTATAAAACCTCACTGTCCCTTAATGTTTTTCTCCTCCTATATTCTATAACACTTGTGACAGTGGCATATTAACACAACCAGAAGCAACTGAACCAAGGAGGAAATACTGACTGGCACGCGATGCGAATCTGCTGCAAATTTGCAAAGACGTTTGTCTCTAAAATCTTCATGCTTGAACCCACAGTACAAACTAAAGTCAAATCTAAATACTTCCTTCTGCGTAACGTTAAAAACAAAAGACAACGCACATTAATACAATCCGATTGTACCCTTTTTCTTTAAGAAACACTATAACTCCAGGCATTTAAATCGACTATAGCTTCTATTAAGGACACAGAGCCAGTTTATGTGGAGGCTAACAGATGCTACATAACAGATGTTAGAGATATATATATATGTATATATCATGTATAAATGATTGAAACATTTCCTGTACTGGGAATAAAATAAGGTGTTGTGAAACCACTAATCTAAGCGGTTTTATTACTAATGACATGGTCTCTGTTGGCTAACGGTGACACTCTTGAAGAACCCAACAACACTAAAAAAGTAACTTTAAAGCAGCTAAATGCAGTAAAAGGTCGATTAAATGTCAAATGAATCAACATATGTCACTTTAGACGGATGTCTCCGTAATGCTATATAAAAAAAAAATACACATGACAGCCGTTATTCCTAAAGTTTCATTATTCTGATTATAACACAAGCACGACTCTTCACTTAATCCAATGCCATGTTTAAAGTTAAGAAAATGTTCAAGAAAGAAAGTTTAAAGACGTGAAAAGGTTAAAGGAAACGCACAGGAGCCTCACTCCTCACATGAAAACTAGTTAGCGGCTAACATGCTAACCGCAGCTAGCTTGCTAGTAATGAAGTTACCTGGTCTGCCACGTCTTCGGCTTTGTTCATAAGATCTTCTTGCCCCATTTTCCTCCAATATTACAGTTGTGTTTTATTAAAAACAACCGTATGACACAATGAAAGGTGTTCTGGAGTCCTTTTGGCAGCCTGCGTGTCCTCCCCTCCGTTATTTAGTTGCAGATTTGTCGATAGCCGCGGACGGACGCAGGGAAAGGCCGCCTCCGCCCCACAATGCGCCGCGCTTTGACGAAGAGCCCCCTGCATGCTACTGCAACCGCTGTCTGCCACGTATACTGAAGCGGCCAGGGGCTTCATCCAGCTTGGTTTCATGTAAACAAACAAATATTCAACCACGGATCAAAATAACATATGCAGAAAAATACACAGGATTGAATGCAATTAAAATACACCCATTATTAGATTGGAATGTTAAAAAAGTTGATTGCTTCATGTAATTAATTTGATTCAAAAGGTGAAAATCATACCTTTAAGTGCTAATTACATTTAAAATGAATGAGAACAGCTCATAAAACGAATTATTGTAAAACGTTTAATATTAAAAGCCAACAAAAAAGTTTTCATGCAGAAATTGAAATATTAAGGATTATAATATATGGAAGGATTGAGCAGAAAACAAGTTAGTGACACCCCAAGCAAGAAAGAAGGTGGCTCTATGCAACTTTTAATAGAAAAGTGGAAGAATAAAGTAATGAATAAACCTTTAAAGACAACCCATTGATTTGCTTTAAGATGTGGCAGAGAGTTTGGGTGTGAACCAAATACATGATCCTAAACCAGGGGTCTTCAAAGTTTTCCAGGCCAAAGACCCCCAAACTGATGGTGAGATGGAGCAGAGACCCCCTAATTTTATTTATATATATTATATATATAAATATATTTATTTATTTTGTGTGAAATTGTGTTATATCAAACTGATCATGTAGTCACTCTATTACAGATGAAGTAATGTAACAAAAGTAATTATTATTAAAGTATTTCTTATTCTGATTCCTGGTTGATGGGACAGGTGTTGTGAATGAAACGGTGCCCAGCTTAAAAGAGTTCCTGTGTGTTCACTCATCTTAATGTATATTTAAAGACATTTCAATTAGTTGAACAAAAATTGCAGGGGGAAATACTTTAAAAAAAGTAATTAACCAAAACTTTCACAACCGCCATGCAGTACCTCCGTGGACCCCCTATTGAAGACCTTCGTCCTAAACAAAACAATCCACCTTTCTCAGTTAAAGATCAAAGATGTTCGGCCATATTGTTCAGCCAGAGCTTGTCAGAAACCAGAGCATATTAGCAACTCGTATCATCTATAAGGTAAAGTGTTGATAATTTGGAGGGGTTTTTTTTAGCAGCCACATCTTGAAGGTTTTGGGTTGACTTTGAACCTCTCCATTATAAATATAAAAAAAAAATGATTATGGCTACTTTTTACATTAACTCATGTGATCCTTTAAGTTTTTTATACACACTGAACAGCTATAAGTTTACAGCATTTTATTACACTCAAGTTTCTTCTAAATTTTTAGATTTGATCTCTTTATATAAATCATGAAAAGATTTAAATCAGGCAAGCAGAAGTTTCTTAAGATGTTAAAACTACTTGTTTATACAATCATTTACATATACTTTATGTCTAGAAGGAATCAGCATCCCTGCAATATGCTAAGGATATAATCTATTTTGTTTAGCATTTATCAAACCCAGTTGTGAAATAGTAAACATTGAAATATTTGTTAAAAATGTTAGTATCTGGAAAATATCTTAATGGAAATTAGTAATATGGGAGTTTTACATTCACAGAATGTATTTTATGGATTTAGAGCTCCTCTGGGAGGAAAAATAATGATTCAACAGTATTGCACAACCTAAACAAAGCAGTTTGTTGTTTTTTTATTTACAAGTGCTTCGGAATAGATATCACAAATAACTCCAACTGGCTCTGTGAAAATCGTTTGTCGTAAAAACCAGTTGTGTAAACATCATGACTTTGGAGACAAAACAAATTTCCCTAAAAGTCACTTGCATCCTTATAGTTGGATGTACAGAGCCAGTTCAGCTTAAACACATACTCTAAACCGCGCGTCAGTGTTGCCCAGCTTCAGAAAGACTGCAGAAGCCTTTTCACAGGCTACTTTCCATTTAGGGCTTTTTTATGTTTCTTGTGCCCTGGTTTCCATCGGTTATTTCTGGATTTCTTCTGTAAGCCACCACTTTGGACCTGCAACATGTACAGAGGAGAACATGAATGTCTGATGAGCAAAAATAACCAGTAATACACAGAGTAGTTTTCATTATCTTTAGCATTATTTGTTTACTTTGTCAATTCTCTGATCATCTTTATCAACCCTTTAATGTTTTATGTCTGTTGGGTTTTAATCCCAGATCTTACAAAAGGACCAGGTATATATTACAAACCTTTTTGCGCTTCTGCACCACCTGTGTGTCCACTTCCATTTCTTCGTCTTCATCTGTTTTAAAGTCATCGTCTTCCTCGTCGTCTTCACCTGCAGTACCTTTAACCTCAGAATTCTTGAAAAACATGGAGGCTGTGGGGTAACAAGAGCAAACATTTAAAGACCAGTTGAGCAAATCTGTATCCATATGTTGTACCTACTTTAACTGTATATAAAGTCATAAAAAAAAATAGATCACCCATATCTGTATTTTCTTCTATTTACTGGTTCTTAAAGGTATTTTTACCCATAAAAAAAATAGAGAAATGAGGCTGTTCTACTTAATATAGGTTCAGAATTTCCTAACATAGCCCGAATCCCTAGTTAGTAAACAAAGCTGAATATCTGTTTTGGATCAAGTTTAGCACAGTTTATACTGACGTGGATAGAGGTCACTCATGCTGTCTTCCGAGTCGCTGTGTCCTTCATCGCTGGAAGCCGGTTCCCACATGCTATTGGACCGTCTTTTTGAGGACTCACTCATATCCTCTCCGACATTTTTAGGCCTCTTCTGTTTTAGTCGGGCTGGAACAAACTCAATCCCCTGCTTCGCACACTCCTCATCTGATGAAAACGAAAAGCAACCATTTCACAAACCCCGCTAGAAGTACTCTTATGAAAACAGTAAATCCTGGGACAATCTGTCTTGTTACTTTGTTGTATTTTTTGCAATAAAGTAATTAATTTTGTTTTTAAGAAGCATAAAAATAAATAAACACAAATATCTTAATAAGTGTTTGATTTTTATGAGCACAGATGACAGATTCTAGCTGAAATACATTCCCATCAACTGACATCAGATAAAGTAAAAGTTCCTTCCATAATGACTAAAAAGTAGTGATGTTATGAGATGAGCCGAGGCTTTGAGGCGTGTGTTGAGTAGTTGAAGGAGCATTTCTGCGAAGTGCGTATTGAGGCTTGCTTCATTTAGAGGAGGGGCCAAAATCAATTACGTCCGAAGCCTAACTACCGCCATACCACGTGGGCGCTTCGGGAAGTGGTTCAGCTCGCCCACAAACTTTGTTCTTTATTCAGTCAAGATGTGGGAGTTTGTAGGAGAGTTGCAGTCTGTTGGATAGATTCTAAGAATAGATTGGTTGTTTTTACACACAATTTTGTTGGTTAAAACAATTTTGGTTAGATCAAACAATACAATAATCAGAATCTGAACAAGCCACTGGTTTCAGTTGTATCATTAAGTGGCATCTTTTGTAGGACATTGACCTCCAGTCAGAAGGTTGTGGGTTTGAGACTTGGTATAAGCTTTTGAAAGTTGCAATTTTCATTAATCAGTATTTTGGCCAAAGTGACCAATGGTATTGGTTTGGCCTTTTACCAATGTAGAGTGGGTAAAAACACTGCCAAATTAGATTGGTTGGTTTAACAATGACTACGTTCACACTGCAGGCCTTAATGCTCAATTCAGATTTTTTTGTGAAATCTGATTTTTTTTTTTGCGTTGCTGTTCACATTTCCAAATATATGCGACTTGTATGTGATCTCCTGTGTGAACTGCAGTCATACAACTCAAGTGTCCCCAATGCGCAGTAGAGGACGCAATGACGTCACAGGCCAGTGTGCTTTGTGTTTACGGAAGTAAACATAGACGGTAGTGCTGGAGCGCATCTAGAGATCTTTCCCTACCATAAAAACACTGTCTTCTCAAGATGGTTTAACATAAATACTGCTGCTCTCATCATCGTCCACCATGGTTGTAATTTTTCTTGCCGCTTCTTCATAGGAAGATCCTGAATAGTGACCTTTGTCTGGTATTAATGGTGTTCAGGTTGGATGGATTTGAAACGATCAGATTGGTATCAGATTCAGGACCACATAGCCAAGTGGCCTGGGTCGCTTTGGAAAAAAATCGGATCTGTGTTGTTCAGACAGCAATGAAAAGATCAGATCCAGGTCGCATATGGGCAAAAAAAATTGGATTTAGGTCACTTCAGGCTGCAGTGTGAACATAGCCTAAAAGGTTTAACAATAACTTCCAGCAGGATTTTCAGTATAAAAATGAACACCTTTCATTTTGCTCATCATTGCCCAATTTGCACAAGCATGTTCACTATCCGCTTGAACTTATTTCACTAAGATGAAAAACAGTGTACCTTAAAGAATTTTTCTCTTCCAAGACATTTTACTCACAAAAAAATGACTTTATTATACACACCATTCATGCACAATTTCAAGGGAACCTAAATGGATAAAAAACAAAAGAAATCAGAGTTTGTCACTAATTGTAGTTATGCACTCCACCAGTAGGTGGTGACATGTTCGTGTGAAGCTGCCTAGACTGTGGGAATTGTTGAAACAATTTGGCCAAACAGTTCGATGCCTCATGAGGCTTCATCTCAGCATCACTACTAAAAAGTGTATTTCCATCTTGCCTGCAGTATTGCACAGCCCCTTCATAAATTTCTAATTACAGACAAAATTTCACATAAATAAGTTTTAAACTTACACTGAGCTAGGGCTTTCTTGAACCGTTTCCCACTGACGTGTTGAAGGACATGCTCTGGCTGCCGGTTGAGGTGCCTCAGGGTTAGTTTGCAGAAGAGCTGGTTGCTACAAATCAAGACAAATAGAAAAAACTAAATAACCATAGTGCATTCTACACCAAGTTAGATTAAAGGTCCAAATTTGGTAATGTAAAAACCAGGAGTTTTTTCTTCTTACGGTTGCTTTGTGCTTGGTATAATGTGTGGCTCATACTGGCTGTAGTTGAACTCAGCAGCTGCGTTTAGTTTCTTATATTTCTTCCCCTGGATAAAAGCCTGTAACTCCGTCAGTTTGCAGGGAATCTCGTGTCCGTTCAGGGTGCATTTGATCTGCAAACACATTTATGTTGAGGTTTAGAACCGATCACCAAGCTGAACTTCATTAAAAACAAGTTAGCACACCGCTACGTCACGTTGCACGTGTGTTTTAATTGATATTTTGTGGATTTCTCATTAACCTTTCTGTCGTCTGTGAGCTGAAAAAAGGGATGAGCACTTAGAAACGTTCTGATTTCCGCAGGTAATGCATCCATTTCTGAGAATTACTCCTTAACAGATTGCAGCGTGTGGTGGTAATGTTTGCCACCTCCCAAACAGGAAGCTGCTGACACGTGGTTTGACGTTTGTCTCGGTGTGTCTTTCTTAGCGCCCTCTACTGGTAGAAATTAGGAAGGACACATTTGTACTAAATTATGAGCTGGGGAAGCCACGTATTCTCTTTTTTTGTGAAATATATATCGACCATTTAAAACTAGAGGAAATACATATACTTCTTATTCAGATAGTATTTTTTTAATAATTCATTATTCATGTCTAAATATTTCTAAAAGAAGCTTCGGCATATATTTCAAGTTGGCCAATGATGCTGTAGTTACTGCTTGAAATAGATGTCAGGGTAAGGAGGATTACACTGTAAACACAAACAAATCTGTTTTTTTGCTGTTGTTTTTCTTTTTTTACGTGTGAACATTACTGAAGAGAATTAGAGTCACTTGAAAAAATAATATCAATATGGCATCGATTTTACATATTTCAGTTAAACATGGAAGAAAGTCAGAATTCTGACTTTAATCTCAGAATTTTGGAATTTAATGTGGATGTGTACCATGAAGGAAGAGATGTGGAAGCACTGTTTCACTGACTAAGATGTGAGTTGTTTGGGAGGGCCAGAAACACGTTTGTGGAAAATTACCTAATTAGGCGACTTTTTAAGTGCCTGAGGGGTCCCAGGTGATGCTATTTTATTACTGGAAGAGCAGAAGGTGGTTAAAACAAGGGAGCTAGTTTACTCTCTAAAACAGACATGGCTACGGCTTGATAATAACATGTTTGTTAGGTCAGAATTCTGAGAAAAAAAGTTAGAATTCGAATTTAATCTCAGAATTCTGAGAAAAAAAGTCAGAATTCTTAGAAAAAAAGACCCACCCCCCCTTCCATATCAAACTGAAATAACATATAAAAATCAGTTAATTTTTTTTTCAGTGGCCCTAATCTTTTTTTCCCAGAAATCTGAGATTAAAGTCAAAGTTCTGAGAAAAAGACCCCCCCCCCATATTAAATTGAAATAATATTTAAAGACCTGCTAACTCTTTTTTTTTTTAGAGGCCCTAATCCTCTAATGTTTACTACAGAAATAACATGAAAATTATATTTACATTTATTAAATCCCTTTAGCGTAATCAGACTGGTTGGGTTCATTAGTGCTGGGTGATTTAAAAATGTGATTTAAAAAAAATATTTGACTGTAACATTACTTAAAATCAAATTTATTTAGCATATTATTAATTTTTGTATAGTCAAATGGTTACAGAAACTCTAACTGAATTTATTAATGATTTAAAATAATTAATAAAAAAAATATTTACATGTAACTATAGTTACATTTACAAGTTATGAAGAATATTAGGAAACTAACGTTAGCTGACTATCATGTGCTTTTGTCAGCTGACTAGTTTCAGAGAGTGGAAGAAGCATGAGTGTTCACTCCATCTTCACACATCTTTTGCAAAAATATTATTGCTAGTGAAAAGACAGAATGATCCGTCTAAGCGTTAACATATTTTTCACAAACAGAAATTAGTCTAATTAGCGTTTAAACAAGATTTTTATAGTGAGTGATTGACTATATATTTGATAACTCTTTCCTACAAAACTCCTACAGAGTGAGACCTCTTGCTTTGTTCCAACACACTACCCATTATTTTCCCACAATCCACTGGTTCCGTACACAAATATAACTTTGTCATTTTGAAACACTTTTATAAAATCAAAAAATATCCTTTGACATGAAAATAGCAAAACAAAAAATAACGACCTGAATGCTAATTCAATGAAGCTGACATAGATCGAGAATTTAGGCGTCTTCTCTAATGATAGCTCCTGCACGTTAGTTTATAAGATTAGCAGCTAAAGGCTAACGGGGAGAATTTAGAGACATGTCTGGACCAAACGGAGACCCAAACATCTCCAGCGAAGAAGGGATCATCAACGACGACGACGAGTTTGGCGAAGAGGGTAACAGATGCTAATTATTAGAATAGTATCCCATCATTTAATGATAACACACGTCCTGAATCTAACTATGAGTTCCTTGGACGGGCTAACCTTAGTAACAAACGTTATGTTGGACTTGAGTCTCAGATTAACTTGAGCTGCTCTTTGTTTTTTGGACACAATTTATTTACGGTATGATTATTGATCAGTTCACACGTCGGGGATAACAATATAGAGACATTTAAAGCAGGTGTTGGTTACATAATCAACCACGTACCTGCCATCAAGGGAGTGGATGCTTTTCTTTTCTTTAGAAATCTGGTATTTTATTACTTAAACCCCTCACAGAATGAATCAAATGTAGTTGTGTCATAGTTAAAGAAGATTTTTTATTTTATAATTTTTGCAAGAAACTCTACCTAGCTTTACGGAAGAGGATTAGGGCCAGTGGGGGGAAAAGTTAACAAATTTTTTAAATTTTATTTCAGTATTATATGGGGAAAAGTCATAATTCAGACTTTAATCTCAGAGTTCTAACTTAAAGCTCAGAATTCAGACTTTAAGCCCAGAGTTCTGGATTTAAGCTCAGAGTTCTGACTTTAATCTCAGATTTCTGGCTTCTAATTAGTCTGCTCTCTGCTGTTTATCCAGAGTACGCTGCAGTCAACTCCATGCTGGACCAAATCAACTCCTATCTGGATGACCTGGAGGAGCGCAATGATGCGCTGAATGGTAAACTACACGAACTGTTGGAGTCAAATCGGGAAGCACGCCGGGATTTTAGGGCTCAGTTAGCTGGCTCTCAAACCCAGGAGGAGCATCGTGATGTGGAAGAGGAGTCTACTTTGCCTAGCAAGCAAGATCAAGACAAAGAAAATAATTAAAACTGATGAATAGATGCAGAGTCAGAAATGAAGAGGAAAAAATATTCAATTCCTGATGTCAGTTGGAGTGATCATCTTTGTCTTCGTTGTCCATTTGATTAAATGAAGCTATACGATCTCACTGGGAGAGATGGCTATGCAAACGACTGGGACCTTCTGTTGCTATATTGGTCTAAATGCGTATTGATTCTGGTTTGTTTCCATGACAAACTTAACAAATCCTGCTCTTAAAAAGTTGTGGTCAGATATTTACATGGTAGAAATAAGTGCAATCTGTATATGTATTTATTTTGTCCTAAAAGTTAAGTCTAGATGTTTATCAATATATCTCTGCTGCACTATCACTGCATTATTGTTCATTACCTATTTTAAGATGTGTGATAATGATTAACCAGTCTGTCATTTGTAAAGAAATAAATCAACATTGAGAGATTTGTGAGACATTTTAATATAAATTAAGATTACTCTGAAACGGAAAAGAAACATCCAAAAATACAATAAACTTCCAGCAGTTAAAAAAAAAAAACAAAAAAAACCATCCCCTGGTTGTTTCTCAATTTCTCAGTGGCTGAATAAAAATACAATAGGAAACAAACAGCTTTATTCAAAACTACCATTTCTTTTCTTGAACCATTCGGGTTAAACAAGCTTTAGGGGTAAAGTTCAGCACACTTCCTTATTCCTTCAGAAATACAGGATCCAACATGTGACAATCACACTCATGACTACAAAAGCTGCTACACATGTCCATTTTTTTGTGGTTTTAAATATCCTAAACTAGTAAGGAAGATGAAATGTTGCCAGAAAAAGAACAGTAGTTATAAGAGGGAATTGAAATATCCTCTTTCCAACATTTGCAGTTACACACTTGTACACCATACTATATTAACTGCTACTTTAAAATAGCAAAGGTGGTTCAAATGTAGCCTTTTGCTACACAAACACCTTTCATGAAAGTAACAGATTTGTACTTCTTATGGAAGGTAAAGGAAATTAAACCAGGGGAAAAACTTGAGTTAACTACACTGCAAACTATATTGATCTGTAAATCCTTAGGTGCCTTAATATATATATATAGGCACACCAGGAATGACCAGCCTGTTGATGATCTGAAAAAAAGAAAGAAAAATCCTTCTTTGGTGCCAGGAAAATGCTAAACTTTTATTCCATATGGATAATAAATTCAGATTGATATGTTTTATCTGCTGCTGTTTATCTTTTCAGGACCTTCTACATTCTGGTGCCCATATAACAAAATTCAGACATAATTTAGTTTGCAGTTTGTCTGAGCTAAACAAACATACTCGACTCCTACATCTTTTATTTAAAAAGCTACAACTGGTGCCAATTTTTGTTACCAAAAAAAAAAAAGGAACGCAAATGTGCTTAATTATGGACCAGATTCATCCTTCTTGATCCAAAGTGCAACTAACACTTTTAAAACTATCACTTCTTCAACTTGTTTATGCAGATAACATTCTAGGTTCCAGTTTACTAAAAACACTTCAGGTGAAAAAGGTTTTCACTTCACCTTCAGTGTTGGTTTTGACAATCAGAGTGACAGTAAACACTCATCGGTCTCCTGACCTGAGGACAGCAGGGTGGAAAATTAAAGTCAAAAACAGGCAGACGTCTTCTATTGACATCATCTAGGTGGTTATGGTAACTCAACATCTGACCTTGGTGGCGTTTATTACTTTTGTAATATGAACAACCTAGTTCTTGTTTAAATGTTGCAGCATGTAGTAAATGCAATTGATGCATGTCAAACTTTGACTTCTAAATAACAGCCAATCCAGGTTCAAGCTGCAAGACAAATCCTTTTCTCTATTGCAGAATTTAAAAGCTGTTTTGAACACATTGCAGTTTTAGTCTTCAGTCTACATACAAACCTTGATGTAATGTGACCATACTGAATGCCCACATACTGTTAGGATATACTATATTTCTATCCAATGGTTAATTACCATTAAGATATTTCCTGTATCTCATTTTGGATTGTTTGTAATCTAATTGTGACAGAGTATGGCATATGAATACATTTCAATTTATTTTTTATAGCCAAATTCAAATGGTCTAACCTCCATTTAGAAGCTGTTACTTTCCCAGCTGGAGGGAAATCTGTATTAGAGGTTCTGTTCTAGTCTCTCAGTCAC